GGGCTGCGAGCATCGCCGTGCCGTGAGTACGGACCTCCACGACCAGATGGTGAGATTATTTGGAGCAATTAATTCTTTGAGGGAATCAGTGGGAACATGTTTGCAGCGTAGATTTGGGGGCGCGTGGTTGAATGTGTTGAAAGGCATTCCTCCTTAAACTTCTCCGAGAGAAAAACTAAAGGTTTAGTGTGGGTGAGAGGCGGGGGTGGGGGTGTGGGGGGGGGGGGGGGGGGTGGGGTGGTGGTGGGGGGTGGGGGGCGGGTGGTGGGAGGCTCCAGGAAGGACAGAGTGAAAGGAACGGCTTTTATTCAGTCAGGAGCCAGGCTGGGTATGGGAACGTCGCCTAATGAAAGGGGACAAGGGTCCACTTTGGAATTTCACATTCCTCGGCCCAAAGTAAACAGGAAAACATTTTTAATATCAGCTTCACAGATGACCTTGTTTTATCAGCTCGCTGAAGCAGAATCTGGACTCAGGAGGGACTCCAAGTAAAGAAAAGCATTCAGTCATCAAAACAACGAACCAAGCCGTTCATTAGGTGCTGCTTTTTCAGTCAGACAAACAGAACCATCACAGAGCTCCTGGAGGTCAAAGGTCAAGTCTGCCTCTACCATCCCTCCTTTCCCGAGCACTTCCTCAGAGTAATTAGTTCCTTTTCAGTCGGATCCACTGATTTTCTGAAGCATTCGTCCTTTATCAGTCATCTACGCCCCTCCTGACAGTCAAACCTGATCTTTTCCTCTGTTCATGATGATATCCCGTCTACACCCAGGTAAATCCACGCTCAGTAAGCGTCCACCTTCATAGTTCAGTAGTTTCAGCACAGCAGCTCCAGGCTGAGCAGAGCATGCCCAGTCATCGTGTCTCTCTGATGTCATGCATCTTACTGTAAGGCTCAAACGGCCATTATTCTCTACACTCAGCCAAGCCTGGAAACAGCGGCATGGGTTAGAGCGGTGATCTCCTCCATGTTTCGGCTTTTTAGCAGAAAATGAAGAAAAGCCTTTAGAAACGTTTCCACCCTTTAAGAAAGGAACAACAATAATAATCCCAAATGTAGAAACATTTTTTGTTTTGTTCTGCAAATTAACTTTAAACGAACCTTCTTCTTTCAGCTCGTCTTCAGACGACTCGTCATGTGAAGTCGCCTCGGGTCAGGAGGCCCGATGACGGCATGCCGATGGGTTGTTTAGCGGGAAAACGCTAGACCAATGATTCTTTCCCTCAAGCAGAATCCCGGGCAGCCTGCGAAAGTTTGAGCCACAGTTTTCTCTCGTGAACTCTGACATATGACCTGTCCTCTCCTCTGTGATCATTAATGACCTAGGTTAGGACCATGTTGTTTAGATTAATAAACAAATTCAACTATGGCAATGAAGAGAACAACTACGGTAGGATAATTGTGCCAGTTTTGACCCTGATCACCATAACAGTCCTAAAGATAATCCTACCAGATATTCCTGCCGTGTGTAGTGTGTTAAGAGTACTCTGGTCTGCTCAGAGCACGTCGGGACCGCTCCGATCATAAATCAAAGGTACTGAACATGTTGGATAAACTTGGACTTATTCTGAGGACAAACAAGCGTGCTGTTCGATGACTGTGACCTTGTAGCCAATCAGAATGCGAGGCATGCTGCACGCTCCTCCTCTGCCATGTTTGTTTACTCCCATCTTGGAATCTCTGTGTGAAAGAGGTATGTGTAGGATTTTCCGTCTGGCCGTACACACCACACACGTTTTGGGTCTTCATGCTTTGAAAATCATCCGACCATTTAAAACCGGGCCTGAGAATCTTGCTTCTCTTGTTCTTCTTCGTTGATTTTGTCACCAGCGCTAACCAGAAAATAATAATAACCCAAAGTGTCTGTCTGACGGTGCTGCTGATGAAGCCGGTGCCACAATGGAACCAGACGTGGGTTCAGTTTCTGAGGAAAGAAGGAGCAGGGCAGCAGCTGTACAGGTGGATGCAACAAAGCTGCACCTGTTGTCACTCATTCACTCTCTCTCTATCTCTATCTCTCTCACACACACACACACACACACACACACACACACACACACATACACACACACACACACACATACACACACATCTGCACCTATGTCACCGGTCACCACCGTTTGGAGGACAAACATGAGGATCCCAAACACCGGGTCAGGTGTGTTTGATTTGACATCAGTGGGAAACATGGAAGTGAAAGCAGCAGCTGGTGGTGTTGGGGGGGGTAACTCCCATCAGCCACAACCAGACAGTGGTGAATAATGCCTTTGGACTTGACTGAACTGCTGGTGATCTAAATGAGTGTGGCCCAGAACACAGCTCCCACTTTTAGCTCAGGTAATGTGAAAATAGATCACAGCCACTGAACACAACCACCACAGGTGGGCAGGCCCTTGGTGCGCCCGCCTGTGGTCACAATCACACACCAGGAGCTTCTTTAATTCACACACATCCTACTTCCTGTCTGAGAGTCAAAGCTAAAACGAGTCTCTCCTATTTGTTTAATGCCCAGATGTATGTCTTTGGTGGCTCTCGTGATGTTTTTGTGTGTGTTTCCAAGGTGTGTGAGTGTGTAGATGATTACTCAGGTCACACAGTGTAAACAGTGAATGCACCTGTGTAAATGACACACTGAGCTGTTGTGTTTAGCCCGGAGGCCATCAGGGAATGAGGCATGTTGTGCAAACTGTGTCACCTGGAGAGAGCTTAGGAAAGCTCCGGTTAAGACAGACACATCTATCTCCAGTCAGCTCGTCTTCGCCCAACACAGCAGGTAGAACCCCAGCCCCCCCCCCCCCCCCCCCCCCCCCCCCCCCAACCCAACCCACCTGTGGGGGACTCTACTGGTTCAACACAGTCAGCTGGAAAAAGATAAAAAGACAAACGTTTCCCACCAAAACCACAACCTGTCAAGTTGTGTTTGGAGACAAAAATATTCCACAGCGAAGCTCTCCTGGAGATTCTTATCAAGTCATCGCAACCGGGTCAGGAGCACCTGTCAGCACCCAGAGCAACAGCCACAATGGTGGTCATCCTATCTGATGTAAACCCTGTGTGTGTGTGTGTGTGTGTGTGTGTGTGTGTGTGTGTGTGTGTGTGTGTGTGTGTGTGTGTGTGTGTGTGTGTGTGTGTGTGTGTGTGTGTGTGTGTGTGTGTGTGTGTGTCTGTGTGCGTGTGTGTGTGTGTGTGTGTGTGTGTGTGTGTGTGTGTGTGTGTGTGTGTGTGTCTGTGTGTGTGTGTGTGTGTGTGTGTTTCACCACCCTCAGCCACATCCCTGGCAGACACAGATGTGACCATCTTGTGATTTCCACTTTGTACTTTTTGCTGCACTTTTGTCACCATGACCGGACTCTGGTCCTAACCCACACCTAGTTCCTCTTTATGCTGCACACCTGTTTAGTTTGGTTTGTATTCTGGTTCTCTCTACCTTGTGTAACCACAACAAAGGGAGGCTCACCTGTAACCTGGCAGGTTAATGAGGCTCTAGTCACCAAGCCCCAGTCCCCAGTCAGGGTGACTAGAAACCTTTAGGGAAGTGGAGAGAGGAAAATCTCTAAAACAAATATGATGGCACATGGGTAAAAAGACAACGTTACAGCTGCTCAGAGTAACAGTACATCTACACCCTTACACCAGTAACAGAACATACGAAGGACACTGACCATGAAGAGTCAGAGCATCTGCTACACAGAGGACACAGCAGCCACTCTGGTCTTAACAAGGTTGTTCCTTCAGCCTTAATCAACCTTGAGCCCCTGTACAAATGAAGAGGGTGTGTGTGTGTGTGTGTGTGTGCGTGTGTGTGTGTGTGTGTGTGTGTGTGTGTGTGTGTGTGTGTGTGTGTGTGTGTGTGTGTGTGTGTGTGTGTGTGTGTGTGTGTGTGTGTGGAGGGGGGGGGCGTACCTGTGTGTCCTTGAATGTTTTACAAGCTCTGGGACATCATTGCAGTCTGAGAGTCATCTAAATGAGAACGGGAGCTAAAATGGTTCGGTTTGACAGGTGTGGTAGATGGTGGTCAACAAACAATATGGCCACACTGTCATGACTAAAGCAGGGGCTTTAATAAGCTAAACACCTTCTCCCAAGTTCACGATGCAAAACCATAAAAGCTCCATTTTACTGGATGAACATGAGCTGAGCATCAGTCAGAACAGCAGCAGCACACTCACCTGTAGGACAAACCTGGGCCTCTTTATGCAGAAGTAGTTCTGGGATCTGGACCTCCCTAAAGGTGATGAGATGATGTCATCCCTCCACAGGTTTGGCAGGAAAAACAGGGCTTGTGCTGATCTGAAGCGAAGGGGAAGCATCGGAGTTGCCTTAGCAACCTGTCAGTAAGAAAGAGAGAAAGGAGTAAAGAAAGAAAGCTGTGTGTGAATGGATGGATGAGGTCTCGGTGGCGCCAGGCTGTCTGGCCTGCGGGGCGGTTCGCCGGGCAGCTGAGGGAGGGAGCAGCGGAGCGGCCCGGAGAGCGGAGGAATGTAGGAGGCACAATAACACAGCTGTGAGGAGGAATGCCAAGGAGGTGCTGCCAAAATGACCCATCCGGGCTCCAGTAGACTCACTTCTACTGCTCACAGACCTGTTTCTGAAAACCCAGAGGATGAGTGCAGATGTTTTAACTCGTAATTAAAATTAATAAATATTTTTATTTTCATTCATTTAAATATGTTGAATTAACACGACTGTTATTTTTAGAATTTTATTTTCCAAACCGCCAAAATGAATCTTTCGCTCAGGCACGCAGTGCGTAATTACGCATCAGCGTGCCACTGTTATCCAAGCGTTAGCCGCCTGCAGTACCGCCAGAGCCTCTTTATGGGCTTTAATCTGAGTCTGTGACACCCAGCCTGCATCGGCTCAGTGACGGGTTTTCCTTCACGCGCACAGGCAGGCAGCCCACCACCGCGCGCGTACACGGAGGCACGCCTTTTTCCTCGGTGCCGTTGTCGGGTTTGTGGGCAGCGGGCTGTCGGTGATTGACCAGCTTCTCCCTGATCTGTCATCCGGCTGCCTTGGCGCCTCCCCTCTCCTCTATAAATGAACTGGATCTGTTCACCGCGCTCACACGGAGCGGAGCTGTGAGGAAAGGCGGGATGCGCTGACAGACGTTCGGATCGTCTTCTCTCGGTTTAGATTGCGCTGTGGTTCCATCTCTGGTCCCTTCTCGTTAGTGTAACTGATTATTGTTTTTGCCGTTTCGCTGCCTGAGCCGCTGCTTGTCTAAGATGAAGGCTGTTACTCCAGTCCGCCCCCAGGACTCCTCCTCCTCCTCTCCCCTCTCCAGCAGCAGCAGCAGCCAGCTCTCCCTGCACTATCTGTCGAAGCAGAGCCTGAACATCGCCCGGTGCCGGATGGAGGAGGAGGACCTGTTCTGCCTGCAGTACGACATGAACGACTGCTACAGCCGGCTGAAGCGGCTGGTGCCCACCATCCCGCAGGACAAGAAAGTCAGCAAAGTGGAAATCCTCCAGCATGTCATAGACTACATCCTGGACCTGCAGTTGGCCCTGGAGACGCACCCTTCTCTTCACAAACAGCAGCCACAGTGGACCGGGACCTGTCCTGCTCCTGCAGCCTCCAACCCCAACAGGACGCCACTGACGGTGCTCAATATCGACCACCACCAGGTAAGCTTCCACCGGAGGCACTTCGTCACCGGAGGGGGGAGGGGGGGGGGGGGGGGTCCCCGGTTCCATGATCCAGACTGCGACCCCCAAAGATGGAGACAAAGCGCGTCATGCCCGTTATGTGTCACTGAAGAAACAAAATGCTGCAACCAGATTATTATTAAATCAACCCGCACGTGCAAAATGCAAGCGCTTTTACTCAGATTGCACATCTGATTGCGTTTTTTTTTATCATTTGCATGATAATGACAGCGTGTCAGAGGCCCACCTCAGCCCGGATCGGTGAAGTGCCTCAGCCTGCAGTCCACTCCACTCCACTGCGCACAATAGGGCCAATTTATCCTCCAGTGAGAGGATTTATGACTGAGGCCTGCAGAATATCTGGGTTTAGGCCTGATCTCCAACAACTTGACGTTTCCTTCTAGTGCTCATCCAAACCCACCAATGTCTGCAGCTAAACATTTAAATATTGTTTTTAGTTGTGATTCATCCTTTATTATTGCACGTTTATCCTGACTATTCTATTAATTTTCTTCGTTGTGCACATCCTAAGAAACAGTTTGCACACCAGACAAATAATGAATCTCGATTTTTGCTCCTTTAACATCGTTGTTTACATGATGCTTTTCCTCTCTTTTATTGTTTTCCAGAGAACATCAATAGCCAAACAAACGGAAGACTCGATCTTGTGCCGTTGAGACGTCAGCACTGCATTGGTGAGTTGGCCTGAACCCTTTTTGTTTCTCCTGTGATGTGCTCAGAAGAAGCCACGGTTAGCTTCAGCCGGAGGAACCCAGATGAAGCGAGGGTTTAAATGTGTAAAACTAGTAGCTGTCACTGTTGTAGCAAAGTGAGCAGAACAGAGGGTGAACGCCTCAGCCTCTCCCACACACGTGTCCCACGTCTCTCAGGTCCATTCAGGACAGAGTCAGTTTCCTGTCCCTGGACCCAGACCCTGGCCAGGACTAGAGCCTGTAGCGGTGACTCCGGGAGTCTCCTTGAGAGTCTCCCAGCAGCCGGTGGAGCGCCGCCACGGTTGTTGTTTGACCGGGTTTGTTTTGGGTTGTTGATCAAGCATGGCCTCTGTTTTGTCGCTGGCGCCAGTCAGTCTGGAGCTCTGCAGCTCACCCCTCCTCCCTTTGCCTCTATTCATCCCCTCCACAGGTGTGCAGACTGTGCAGAGCCACTCCAAAGCCAGCAGCAAAGCTTCGCCAGGGACTCACACCCAACCGGAGGCACAATCACACGGGGATTTCAAAACCAGTGGGGGGAATTAGACCCAAATGAAACCACTGTTCATAGCAGCTGAACAAGGACGTCTCCCTCTCAATCTGTCACATGTTCTTCTCCTGAAAACATCAAATCTCTGGAAATCCATCTGCAACAGCTATTTAACATAAAAACCAGATTGTGAATTGTACTTAACGAAACAGCTTAAAGCTTTACTAAAACAGTTGTACATGTTACGAACATCTATTATTTCAAATAGATGCTGTGTTCTGAGCAGAGGCATCAGCCCCGGCACCTCCAGGGCTCTGATCTGTAATTCTGATTTGAGGCTGTAAATATAGAGACAAATGTTCTATGAAGTGAAAAGAAGACGTATATGCTTAAATAGACTATTGCAATTCTAAGATATTTTTATTCAAACCCTCTTGTTGTTTTTATTTTGTTTCTTTCACTAATGTAAATAAATTGTTTCCACTTCAACATGCTAACATCGCCTCGTCACACGTGGATGACGACAAACTAGCAGCATTTTAGTCTGACGTGCAGCATGCTGGCTCGGTGCAGAGATACTGCTGGGTGAGCCCTCTGTGCTGGAGGTCACCTCCTCCCCCGTTATGCTCTACTTATTCACCACAGCTCCGAGGAATGGATCACTTTTGGAAAAGAACAAAAAGACTGTGTTAAACTGCACTTGTGTTAAACATTAAATCTAAGAGCACTTCGGACCGTTCAGCAAAATCACTGCAGCTTTGTTTCGCTGCTGCAGTCTGAGTTCTCCTTGAGAAGTTAATAATTGATGCTAGGAAATGATCAACCCTCCGATTTACTGTGTGTGCACTAACTGGTGGAAATCAGCTGTTATTCATGTAAAGAAAAGACTTTTGTGTCATCCAGCAGCGAGTTTTTCTCACCGCCCTCCCGCCAGTGCCAGAAGGCTCTTGTAGGCTTCTGGTGGACGGGACCTCTGGTTTGTGAGGAAATGTCAAAACAATTAAAATGTGCAGGAAGAGTTGTGTGGTCGTGACTTCTGTCTCCGATGTGTTGTTGAGTGAGGAGCGGGTAACTCTTGGTTTAGGTAACCCTCAAACCTGCTTTACAGGATCCAGAGATCTTGCAGTAATCCCACGGCACGCACGAGGCCGGCCGCTCCCGCGGACTCAGCACATCTCTGGGATCATTCCCTCCATGTCTGTAACTGCAAGTGATGTCTTTGTGAACAATATTAAATTATTTCAAGGTGCTTTTCTCTTTGATACTTTTTATAAATGTAACTTCAATATTTTTTGTGACTGAGAATTTGAAAATTAAAACCAAAAGAAATATTTTCTTCCTGCAGAAAGAATGATTTCATTGAGGAACAGGAAACGGACTCGTTAGACTGTTTTAGTGTGAGTGAGGCCGAGAGAGCGGGGCTGACCGAAGCATGATTCAGTGTTAGCTTCGGGCTAACGCTAACCCTCTGACTACAATAAAACTAAACTTGGACACAAAAAGTTATTAAGTGTAAAATTAAAAAGTAACATTCCAACTAACAAGGTCAGAATAATGAGCTGTCAGCAATCAGCCAAGTCACACACACACACACACACACACACACACACACACACACACACACACACACACACCACCTGATTCATCCAGTTACTTCGGATGAAACATTCAGACAGAATTTTAAAAAGCAGTTGTTTCATTTAAAAATAAATGCCATAAAAACGTCCACTCGGGTTTTATTGTGTGTGTTGCGGAGTGAAGTTAGAGGGGCTTGGTCCTGTGTAGACGCTCTAAAAGGAAAACACAAACATTTATGTTCATATAAAATTAGATTTTATTTGCTAAAATATGAACTCACCTGTCAAAAGTCACAACTGAAAATCCCGTTCAGCCTTTTCTGTGGCTGATATTAGTGAGTAGCTGATAATTATGATGCTGGAGAAGCAAAAACAAGCTGTTTTCTTTCTGTGATGTAGAGGATGTGATCCATGTTCCTGTAAATCTGCAGCGTTCACACACACACACACACACACACACACACACACACACACACACACACACACACACACACACACACACACACACACACACACTTCCAACATGGCTGCCTGAGGAGTAGTGGGCCTAGCTGAGCGGGCCACCTGTGTGTGTTTATAGTCCACAGAGAGAGAGCCTGACCCCGATGACCTTGACGAGTTCTGTCCTTGTGACGTGAAACGTGAGCGTGTGCCTTCCTGCATGAGCGGAGAACATTTTAAAAAAGGAGAAGGCGGTAAAACACAGGCGGCTGCCGGCAGGACAGTTAAACCTTCCTGACATGATTAAAGAGGCCCAGCTCAGCCACGGCCACACCACCCTCCTCTTTCACCTCTGAGTGGATCCACTCGGCTGAAGCCGTCCTCCTGTCGATGGCACAAATCCTCTGGAAACCTTCATCTCAAGAATTTTCTCAAAAATCCAGCTGCACTTGCAGAAAATAAAACATCCATTATTCAGATCAGAGGAAAACGGGGTTGGAGCCAGCGAAAATAACAAAACACAAGTGGATGTGTCACATCAAGCCCAACACATATACATCAGACCTCACCCTGACCCTGGCCAAACCCAGAGTCACACCAGAGCCAAACGCAAGCATTTGGTTCTGGTTGGAAATTCCCAGAATTCTGTTGCAGATCAGGAGCAGCAAATATTCCAGATGATCGGGTTTTGCCACCGAGTCTCACACTTGAGACTCGAGACTTCCCACTCTCCTTTGTCCCACCGTAATGAGCCCCTGTACCTGCAGCCTCCGGTTCTCCCTGTGGTCCAGATCGTGGGAAACGATGGCGTCTGTTTTTCACCCTGGTCTGAAGGTGTAGGCATGCCGGCCTCGTGGCCAGTCATTTGGAAAGGTCATTGTGAACACAGTATTATTATTTCCACAACAACAGGACTGGTCAGGGTGCAACTGGAGTGTTTGCACAGGTGTGTGTGCATGGGCACACATCAGTGAGCTTTCCCTCCAACAGTTTTTATTAAATGAAAGAATAAAACAAATTCCACGCGCTAGATAATCCTCCACTCCTCAGCCAACAGTAGCCGTGGATGGAGGAAAAAAACAATCAACAGTTGTTTTTCTCACAAAAACACCCAACCTCTAATTTCTCTCATTTGCACGTCGCACCGTGACACAAACACATAAACGAGGATGCTTGCTGTCGCCTCTGCCTTGAATTAACCTTGTGCATATGTTAAACAGCAATAACAGGTTTAGCTGCGGCGTCTGGCCTCCTTCTCCCCCTGATTTAACTCCACATTACAGCGTTCCGCGGGGGCCTATATCCCTGCGTGCTAATCACTGCTCTTCCCGCCACACACAGAATATATGGCGGGCGCTTGCAGAGGAACAGTGGAGGACAAAAACGTGCTCGCTCTTGGACACTACTTGATTACAGACTAATTGGTCTGGAGTGATTAAATATCTCATGCTTCTGGCTAATTGCAGCTATTTAAAGCAGCTATTAGCTTAAAATCCCTGCCACCAACAGCCGTTTACTCATAAACAAAAGCTGCAGCTCCACCCGTTTGTTTCATACTTAAAACTGATCTTAAATTTTAAGCCTTGTATTTCATCCTTGAATCGCTGCAGAGATGGATTATGGAAATAAGTAGCCATCAATCTTATCATCATCATTATTATGTTTTTATTTTTTCTATCTGAATTCCGACGAACAGATGTACATTTTTACTGTATTAATCACAATTAAACGCCTCACATTCATTTCACTTGTGATAATTGATGAGCAATTATTTTTTCATTTTACTTGTGTGTGTTAGCGATTTAAAATAAAATGTTTTCATATGAGAAAGAAAAAGTATGAATGGGAAAAATCCCTTTGTGAGCCATTTATTTTAATCCGACTCCCTCGTTTGGAGCTTTAGTGACTAAGGCGCTGAAGCACCGGGAGTGTTTCTGTGATCTGAGCCTGGAGCGGCCATCAAACACAGCGGAGTAAATGTGTGTACACCCACCAGTTTAGCTCCAGTCAACAACAACAACAACAACAACAGGGCTGCCATGAGAGAGGGAGAGCAGGGTTAAAAAGGGGCCGAAGGAGGAGGGAGGACTTGGCATCGCCGGTGCCAACCCCGGATCCCCGGAGACGGGCGATGAATTACACAAATGAGGTCTCAGACGAATGCCAAGCGTGTGTGTGTGTGTGTGTGTGTGTGTGTGTGTGTGTGTGTGTGGCACCATGACATGTCACACAACATGACCCTGAGGTGCAGCCATCAGACAGCCAATATGGCAGTAAAATACCGCCGCTGCATCAGAGCGGAAGGGCTCCAACTGGCACCAATCAAACAGGTTTCTGTTCGCCTAACGAGCTTCGTTAAAAACCGTCTGCTTCTACCGAGTTGTGATTGGACACCTTGGGTTAAATCTAGATGAACAAAGAGGGGAAAAGGAAAAGATCCTGTTTGCTAGAGGAACTGTGAGCTGATGTTTGGCTTTTACTCTGTAGGATAAAAAAGATCAGAGCAGTAAAAACAAGAGGATTTGTCTCTAGCAAAAGCAGCATCACAAAGGTTTTGTTTCACACTTTTCTGATAAACGGATGTTGCCTTGAACAGTATAACAGCAGCAACGATGACATCATCAACTGCAAAAGGTTTGAGCGTGGAATTAATAAAATACAGGAAACTCAGTTTGTTTTGGTGTTTATTTCAGAATTATCCAAGTCCACAGGTAAAAATCATTATAGTCCCAATGATTTTACTAATTATTAGTGACTGATTAATAAACATGCAGTTATAAGACACAACACTCCCTACCCTAACACTGATGCAGGCTCGTTTTTATTGAACGTATTAATAACTGGTAACAGCATGTGCGTAAGGTACCTGAAACAGCTATTCTCTGGACAATAGCTTAAGTCCAACTTTGAGTTTTCACAATAAAAGCAGAAATAACATCTCAGAGCTAAATATTGGTACGTTTATAAGGATAAACTCCTGCAATCATCAGGAGGGGAAATGTGTCTGTTCAGTAAAGCTGATTATAAAGAGAAGTTAAAAATGAAATAAAACAAAAATGTTCCCCTCTCATACGTCTTCTAGACCACACAGAAGGGAAACGTGCCGACGTTAAGGTTGAGTAACAGAGAAAAGCCTGAAGACAGCCCTGCTGAGCTGCTGAAACTGGCTGAAAGTGTTTCAGGTTTTATTATTAATGTGACCGAGGGTTCTAGGTCACTTCCTGCTGATGAAACTACAAAATAAAAGCACATCTGCACCATAAGAGTCTGAAACACACATGCACCTGAAACACATCTGCAGATATTTATTAGTGTGGTTCCTCAGCAGAACTCATCCTGCAGCTCAGACCGAGAGGATTTCCTTCCAGCTGTTTGGGTCCAGATGTTTGTGTTTCTGAGCCTTTAGAGTTTATCAGACTTTAGTTTTAGTTTCTCTTCCTTTCTGGTTTATTCTTTAATTCTCTTTGTTGGTGATCCAATATTCATTTATAATTGAGCCTATTCAAAGATAAATAGAGAACAAAATATCTAACGTAGAACAATATGAACAGAGCATTAAAGAAATACTTGCAGGCAGTTTTATTCCTAACGTGGGCCGATCCGACTAGAAATGTTTTAAATATTTGACCATTTTTCTCATTGTTTCGTTTTATTGGAGATTTTCTGTTATCTATTTCCTCTGTCTCCCTAACCTAGGACCAGATTTATAGACACAGAATAAAACTCTCTGGTCTTTGCACTAATAAAAAAACAACCCTTTTCATTCTTTTGCAAGATTTTTTTAAATAGGTAAATAAAATAAAATAAAATAAAATAAAAACAGAATTAATTTTCTGTACAGATAATAATAACATGAGTGATACTGAACATGCGTTTAGATTCTTTTATTATTCTAAACTCTTTAATTCTTTAACTATCTAAGGTAGGGATGCGAATTATTGAGTAATTCATTAATCAATAGTTGTTTCATCTTATCGATCGATGATCGATTAATTGATAAGCGGCAATTTTTCTGAAAAGTGGAACTTCCCTCTGAATCGGTTCCATCTACTGTATATGCAACATAAAATGCTATATTCTGTATCATGTAAAGACAAAATGCAAACCATATTCCCTAATCAAAGATCAATTGTCATGGTTGTTCTAGAGGGGATATTGTACCCCAGCTCAATGTACTTTATCACTTCTTGAAATCCCTGTCCATCAACAACATTTATCAGCAGCATGTCTG